AGAGAGAGAGAGAGAGAGAGAGAGAGAGAGAGAGAGAGAGAGAGAGAGAGATAGAGAGAGAGAGAGAGAGAGAGAGAGAGAGAGAGAGAGAGAGAGAGAGAGAGAGAGAGAGAGAGAGAGAGAGAGAGAGAGAGAGAGGGGGGAGAGGGGGGGGGGGGTTGAGAGAATTATATCTGTTTAAAAGACGAAGTGGTGGCAGCAGAGCCCCACGAGTAGACAAAAAGACAGAAAGAAGAGAGGAAGAACAAATCCAGGAAAATAAGCTGCATAGAGAAATGATGAGAAAATACTTGTAGAAGGGGAAGAGAGGGGGCGCAAGAAATAGAGGCAAGGGCTCTACATTAAACTTGGCCAGAGTTTGCATTATTGGTGTGCAACGATGCATACAGCTCGACACATTCAGGCGACGCTAAGACCTGTAAACTTCCTGGTTAGGGAGTTTAAAATTAGGGTTCGGGCTAGTTCTAAACTGCTTGGGTTCGGGGCACAGAATTCTACACTCGCAGACAACACGGAGAGCACCGTGTTTTTCTAAGTTAGGCTGAAAACACCACAGTACTTTTAATGCGTTCTGTTTCGGACATTATTGCTGCTGATGTTGTGACAGTAAGTATAGTTGCTGCTGCTGCTCCTGCGGTTGTTGTTGTTGTTGTCGTTGTTGTTGTTGTTGTTGTTGTTACTGTTGTTGTTGTTGTTGTTGTTACTGTTGTTGTTACTGTTGTTGTTGTTGTTGTTGTTGTTGTTGTTACTGTTGTTGTTGTTGTTGTTGTTGTTGTTGTTACTGTTGTTGTTGTTGTTGTTGTTGTTGTTGTTGTTGTTGTTGTTGTTGTTGTTGTTACTGTTGTTGTTGTTGTTGTTGTTTTATAGAAAAAGACAACAAGATAAAGTAAGACTCAAAACCGAGTGATACCGGTTGTTAAGTCATATCATAAATCCAGCACAGCTGGCCTGGCCCTCGCCAACGTAGTGATGAAGCGTGCAGGCTTGGTGCAGTAGCTGTGTTCCATAAGGTGTACATATATTATGTTGTATGTTGTCAATGTTAGGTCTCGGCGAGGGCGCGAAGCGTTATAATCAATAATATAATAACTTAAATGCTGCTTCGCTTCTTTAATTTGAGAACATCGTCGAAACCAAATTCACCAAGTGTCTCGTAGACCGTGATAAACGTTGGCCATATAATTTCAAATAGACCTTAAATTCATGAAATCACCAATCAGCACAGCATTCAAAAGCGTTTTATTGCCACACACCAGGGCGGTTATTTCACTGGGCTAGACCGGCGGCGCCGTTCACTTTTTGTCGGCTGTACGTGCAGTGGACAAGATATTGATTGCTGACGATAATTTTACTTAGTTTAAAGTAAAAATACACGTTAATATCTAATCAACGTTCAAAAACCACTCAGCCGATTTGAAGGCTCTCTGAGGGACAATATTATAGTGGTTCACTGGTGTGTTTTCGCACAGAGACTCGTCCCTTCATCTTTGTTTATCACACCGGCTCGCGTGTAAATCGCTCCTGTCATGATGTGGAACTTGTCAACGCGCGGCCTTTCAGAACACCGCCCGCCCAGCGGTGACGTCAGCCTTACCTGGAGAATCCAGCTCTTTCCTTTTGCCCACGTGGAGCTTAAAGAGGGGAGGGGGGGGGGGGGGGTCCACACCTGAAGGCTATCTCGCTTATTAGAGAACCAAATTGTACCAAATTTCACAATTATAACAAGCATAGTAAGGAGTCTTAAAATCCGCAATCAAATTTGAGCAAAAAAAGTTTCGTTTCCATGGATACGGCGCCATATTGGATTTTGTTGACATGTTTTACGTAATGAATACCGAACTTATTGCTCATGGAAATTGATTTTTTTTTTTGCATGCGTGTTAGCAAACACTTGTTCTAAAAATTTGCTTTTTTTTTTTTTTCCTAAACGAATTTTATAACTTTTTATGAATTGTTCTGGGGTAGTATTCAAGTGTGCAAAAAATCCGCGAACATCCACACTCCAGACACCACCAACAACAATCTATTTCTTAAATCAAAAAGGAAAGCGAGCGGAGACAATAACGTGTCACATTCGTTTCTCTCCCAATTTGTATGCCGATCAGGGAAATGGGTCAGAAGGAAACGAAAGGGAACGGAGAAGAACAGGAAAGCACTCAGTTCATGCGTTTATACGGTCACTTTTCTCCTCGACAATGCATGGCCGCCTACACAGGTTCGACTGTGTCTGTGTATGTTATTATAATATTATATATATTTATACATAGAGAGAGAGAATTGTGGATGGTTGGCGGGTGCTCTGGTGTGGTTTGCTTCTTCTTTCCTATCAAACATCTATCGTCCATATCTCCCATTCTTCTTGTTTATGTTTGTTACTCTCTTGTAACACCTCTAATCTTCTGGCGCTCATATGACCTTATGCAGTTGCGAGCGCCGTAAAACCCTATACTAAACTGACAAAAAAGAGAGAGAATTGAGAGAGAGAGAGAGAGAGAGAGAGAGAGAGAGAGAGAGAGAGAGAGAGAGATTTTCTTTTGAACCCTCCGCTTTTGGACTTTATATTACTTACTTACTTTACTTACTTACTTACTTAGGGCGACCACATAGAGAACGCCATTCGCTCACGCTCACGTAAGCGCACACTGACCGAGGCAGTGAAATTAAAAGAATCCCCAAATGAAAACCGTTGCGCCCCACGTAGACAAAGCTGTCATTGAGGACGCGCCAGTAAGGAGCGGCACTGACGTTTCTTGCGGAATCCAAACTACATTCTTTCCAAGGCCGTCCACAGCTGTCTGTGGTCGTGTTTTGTCGTTGTGGTTGTAGGCTACTAGATGATGATGATGATGATGATGACGATTTTAGAACCTTGCGCTGTTCCTCCACCAA